GACATTCATTCTGGTCTTTCGACAACGTTTGAAGATGGCATATTTTGGAGTACCTTCCAAAAAGGAGCACAACTTCATTATTCCTACAGATTTTTCAGTTCTATTTTCTTCACCTGAAATTTCAAAAGGCAAACAAACAACATGCATAACACTATAAACTACGCAAATTCATATATCTGTCATATGTATGATAGTTGAAGGCAAAGGCACTGTAAATGCCATATATGTCACCAGAACAACAATAGAACGTGCCCTAGAAGTTCAGAAAGATCTTCATTTATGTTTTATAGACTACACCAAGGCATTCGACAAAATCAGGCACGACAAGATCATCGACATGCTGGAAGTTCTTAATATCGACGGGAAGGACTTAAGGGTAATCAAAAACATGTACTGGGTTCAAACTGCTGCAATGAGAATAGAAAACGACATCAGCAAATACATACAGATTAAAAGAGGAGTCAGACAAGGATGTGTACTTTCTCCAGACTTGTTCTCCCTGTATAGTGAAAATATCATGAGACACATAGAAGAAATGCCTGGTATCTCGATAGGGGGACATAATATAAACAATCTAAGATATGCAGATGACACAGTCCTAATAGCAGAAAATGAAGAACACCTGCAGAATCTATTAAATGTCATCGTACAAGAGAGTGACAACATGGGCTTAAGTCTAAACATCAAGAAAACCGAAACGATGGTGATAAGCAGAAATACTCCAATCCCAACTTGCAATATCAAAATCAATGATACCACCCTCAAGCAAGTACAACATTTTAAATATTTGGGGACCACTATATCATCAGATGGTAGATGTCACACCGAAATTAAAAGCCGCATTTGCCAAACAAAAGCAACCTTCCACAAGATGAAACAGATACTAACAAACATCAATCTGTCACTGGAAATGAGGAAAAGAGTAAAGAAAAGTTACATCGAGCCAATCCTTTTATACGGGTGCGAAGCGTGGACAATCAATAAACAACTGGAAAGAGCAATTGTAGAGACAGAGTTGTGGTTCATGAGACGCATGCTACGTATCCCATGGACAGCTAGAAAAACAAATAAAGAAGTCCTGGTTGAAGCAAATTATAGAAAACAACTTATCACGAATATAAGAAAACGACAGGCAAATTTTTTCGGACACACTATGCGGAAAAAGCATTAGAGAACATTGTAACAACAGGAAAGTTTGATGGAAAGAGAGGCAGAGGCAGACAGAGGGAAAAGATACTGGACAAGATGACAACATGGCTGGGAGCAGCAAGAACAACAGACACCATTGCTGCATCGAAAGACAGATGGAAGTGGAGGTCCATGATCGCCCACGCCAGTCGGCAAGGCACCGGATGACGATAGTTTGAAATGTGCCATAACATTGGCTTTAGTCAGCTGATGATCGGATATATTCTTTATGTGTCCATTACACTCTTGAAAGAGTTAAAGGCTTGACCTCCAAGTTTAGTTCTTCTCCGATAGGACCAAGCCAAGTAGGCAGAGAGAAATGAAATACCTGAACGATCTAAGTATGCATTCCAATTTTAAAAAGCCCTTTTTGGGATTTCAAATAGTTATCCGCTTCGTTATCCAGCAAGATACAAAATGATCTAGATATGTGCCCCCACCTGAGACAAACAAATGACAGTAGTTCAGAGTTATTCTAATATTAGCATGAATGAGAGAATCTAAGTAATATAAAATGCACAAAACTTAGAAGGCAAAACATTCAAATTTCTTTTTCTTTTTCCCCAGGCAAATACAGCTTTGAACAAAAAGTACAATCAAATACATCGCAAAACTGGGAAATGAAGTTATTGATTGCCCAAAGAAAGGGCGGTGCATACAGCCAGAAGCAAACAAAGAAACGTTGTTTTACTAAAATATTGTTGTTTTGTTTTTCATGAGATGTAAATGTACAAACTTAAAAAACGTTTGTCTGTGGTATCAAATTGTTTTATTCAAATAATGTCGACGTAATTTCCGGTCGAGAGGAGTAAAGCATTTTCCCAAACTAAAGTGTTGTCGTGAAGATGGATATAACTCATTTTCAAGGTTTCAGCGAGTACAAAATTCTCTAGAACAGCTTCCCCCCCCCACACACCCAAGACTGAAAGAGAATGGAGAGACGACCCCCCCCCCCCCTAAAAACAAGAGATAAAACGAGACGTTCAGTCCATTCCCCCCTACCTCTCCATTTTTCGCTGACAGGAACAAGTTATCCGCACCTTCAAATAGAAACTACCGGGTATTTGATTTTCAGTGTCGTCTAGTGTCAGGTTTATGTTGTGTAAATTTTCAAAGATCGGAATTTAAATTGCAGACGCAATAGCATCTTATCTATCTATCTATCTATCTATCTATCTATCTATCTATCTATCTATCTATCTATCTACTCGTATTTGTTCGTCCGTATCTCTGTCTAAAGTTTGTGCATGAATGTTTGCATGTTTGTGTTGGCATGTTCGTGTGTGCGTTTTGAGGGTACTCGCGTTAGTGCATATATTTGGATGTCTGAGAGAGAGAGAGAGAGAGAGAGAGAGAGAGAGAGAGAGAGAGAGAGAGAGAGAGAGAGAGAGAGAGAGAGAGAGAGAGAGAAAGAGAGAGAATACCATTGAGTGTCTTTATCGCTTAAAGCAAGCAGTATTTTTATATTGCGTGTGCTTGCGTTCGGACGCATTTGATTGTTTGTCCATTCCTTAAAAACTACAACAACTAAGCCAGTTTTTTCTGTCTACTTGTAGTTGTAGGGGTATGTCTGTCTATCTTTTTGATGTGCTGTTGTTTTTTAAAATGTTCATTCAACAAGTAATGTAAACTATCCATTCCACTGCTTTTTGAAATGTCTTTTCTTGGAGAAATTTTTGAGAGCCTGCTTTTCTTTTAAGAAATGGACATTATCTTTGGAGAAGTTTAGCAGCAGCGTCGCTAAGACGTATATTCCGAAACACTGTTACCCCACTTCAGCACGCGTAGACCCGATAAACCTTACTTTAGTTTTTTTTTTTAAAAGAAGAGTTTAACCAGAGCCATATACAGTGCTGTAAGCAGTGTAGCGGTCATAGAATCCGGTTCTCTTGAACAATTCAAAGCAGTTTCATCTAATCTTTTCGACGGATTCTATTATTATTTGTTGGCCTACACTTCTTTTTCACAGTACTGGAATGACTGTGAGCTGCTGCACCACGGTGGGCGTTCTGTCGACGAAAATCTTGTCTCTACGATATCATTCCATGGGTTCAGATCTAGATTTTTATATTTCTTATTTGCATAGCTTATCTTATAATAATAATAATAATAATAATAATAATAATAATAATAATAATAATAATAATAATAATAATAATAATAATGATAAAAAGATAATAATAATAATAATAATAATAATAATAATAATAATAATAATAATAATAATAATAATAATAATAATAATAATAATAGTAATAATAATAATAATATTAAAAATATTGTATAGCGCATATCCCCATTTGATATCAAGTTCTACGCGCTTTAAACTATATCATTACCCAAGCAAACCATAGAACACGCAGACACATTCTCAGCTTTCCGGGAAGCATACCGTGCAAGCAGCTGATTAAACGCCCAAACACTAACAAACTGACTAGATCATTCACAGTCTATAGCTGGGTACCCATTCCCATATGTGTGAAGTGAGGAAAATTCGTGTAAAGTTCCTTTCCCAAGGACCCAATGTCGGGCCCATAGCAGGATTCCAACCCACGACTTTACGGCTGCGAGTCGTTAATGTTCTTAATTTGCTTTTGTTTGTGTCTAATTTTTGAAATAATATCACACGCAACTACTTTATAATCGAGTTTTACATTAACTTGTCGGGCGAACTGACATTAGTGCTGCACCCTAGATTCAGATACACTTGTACTTCTCTTTGAAGGAGAAATTCTTTCTCCAGCGATAAGAACAAAGAAGAAGGAAGGCAAGGAGGCGGCACACGTAAGAATATTCTAACAAACACACGCGCATCCCAGAGTAAATATCTATCTTGGATAGTAGGATGTTAAAGGAATTTCCCTCCTTCTGGCTTGAAATGGGTCTATTATTTGTACTAAATATACCCCCCTCCCCTTTACCGATGTTTGGCCTACTGTAGTGAGCCCTAAGTATGTTGTTTATTATTATATCATCTTTGAAGCCAACAACTCCAAAAAAAAATATCCAGAGAATCCAGGAAAAGGCTTTTACTTGAGCTACAGCTGTCAGCGATTTACTTTGACGCCTTTCTCAATCCATGGCTGACAGAACAGTATCTGCTATACACCCCCCCTCCCATAGTCAGGACACACAAAGTTTCAAAGATTTTTCAGATCCTTTGGTTCATTAATTTGGAAAACCGAAGACAGACGACAAAAAGGCAGAGATGACACAACATAAAAATATCCCTCCAAACAACAACAACAACAACAACAAACAAACAAAAACAACACAAAAACAACACAACCCCCCCCCCCCCACAAAAAACCCCGAAGAAATAAAAATCATAAAAATCAAGTAAACAAACGAACAGACAAGACAAAATAAAAACCAAGAAAAAACAAAACAAAAACAAAACAATTGCACTAAACAGTCAGCAGAGCAACTTTCCACCACTAAAAGGGTCACAGTATCATTGTTCTTGTACAGGCGTGGGTAAAAAAAACCCACCCCTCACTCGCACTACATAAACCTAAACGGTGGATTTGCACTGCCCTGTGTGTTCTTGCTTCCATTAGAAGTAACTTTTTCCTTCTGTCTTTGGGCCTTGGTCGATGCCCATGTAACTATGCTCTTTGTGGCAAATTAAGCTGAAACGTTTTCGTTGTGTTGTTGCCTTTCTCCTTAAATCTCTACTTTTCCCCTTTCGTCTCTTAATCCTTGCGTGACTGAATTATCTTCTTGAGAGCCTGAGCAAAACACATTTCTTGCGGACAACCAAAGCACGTGAAACCCTTTATTGCCCGGTTGTTTGCGAGCGTTTAGTGGACAATAACACACATTTGCCTCGCAAAATTCGGTATCCAAGTATTTGCATAATGAGATTGTTTCTTCAATTCTCCGTCTGGGCTTCGTCCCATTGGCGGAAATATTCGGTGGAATTGCTCTTTAGCGGCTCCTAATACATGCAAACCACCTCCACAAAGCACAATCGACTTGACTTCTTGGCCTGACCCCACCCGGCCAACGAGCAAATTGGAGATGAGCCCGAGAGCGGACCGGCTCCGAGCTGTGTGTGTCTGGCCGTCTCGTGACTCTGTACGAAGCCATGCGTGTGGATGCCCGTCTCCTGAGGGCAACGGTCTACCAAGACAGTCTCGCCAGATGCTGGTTTGAAAATATTATTTCCTGCTTGAAATGTTAGATTTATGGAAATAACGCGAGGGATTTCACGACCGCAGTCAATTTTCGTTCACGTGGCTTCGGCCAAAGAAAACGATTGGTTGAATAAATGCACTAGCTGGCTTCCCGCTGGGATAATCTTTAGCAAGAACTAGTTCACACAAAAAACAACCCTTCACAGTGCTAAGAGTAGTATTACTTAGAACGAGACTACACATAAGGTGTCCATTTATAATGTCAAAATGCGATGTAAACAAAACAAAAACAAAAACAAACACAACCTCCACCCCCCCCCACCAAATCCTAAACAAAACAAAAAAACTCGAACCTAACAAAACCCCAAACAAACCGAAAACAAAAACAAAAACATATAACAAAAAAAACCAAACATTAGAAAGAACAGAGAGAGAAGACAAAATATTCCTTGGAGACGTGGGCTGGCCACAGATCTTTTTTATTTCACTTGTAAACCCCCCCCCCCCCAACATATAATCAAATTAAAAAGCAACAAAAACCCCTCAAAAACAAATTCAACTGAAAGACACGTTGGAGGTCGTTTCCTGCTGTGTCCCAGTCCATTTGAAAAGAAGTTCAAACCGAAAACTTTATAAAAAAGCAAGGTTTTGTGAAAGTTTGCGTATAGAGCTTTCGACAGTATATGCAAGACAGTCTTTTTTAAAAGAAAGACCCAGACTACCAAAGAACATCGAAGGACTTCGTGTAGCAATGGAGAAAGAATGCCGGAAAATACGTCGCAATCAAATCGTCCAAGACGTGATATAAAGCATGTTGTGGACCCTTTTGTTGCCACTCATTGCTTGATTAAACCCCCC